TATACATATATATATATACAAAATATTGCAACGGTGCTTACTTGTTGACTGATACAGTGGTTCTCGTCCTATTGAGGCTCCTGCGCCCGATGCAGGTGCACGATAAAGGCGTGCTCCGCGCGCTGCAGTGCCAAGACCTCATGACAGGCAGTTCCGGAATGACTTGAAAGTTCGCAAATCTGTTGTACTTCGAATTCCGCATTTTTGGAGCGTGCACATACGTGGAACTTCAGGATTTTCAAACTGCCTGGCCGGACTTGTGCCAGTGGCGAAACGTCCCCTTCATGGCGCGGGAACTCTTCATGCACCCGGTATGTCTGTCACGCGGGATGCGTTTGGCGACTGTCAGCCGCCTGCTGCGGCTGACTTCTGGACGAAACTGGGTACCTGTATCGGCTGGCACGTCTTTTGATGGGCTTTTGCCCTGAAGAGGTACTGCCGAGTGTGGTTGGGAATGTGGGACATCCCCCGTGCATTATCAGCTGGCGATCTCGCAGCTGCATCGTCAAGCAGCACGACAAAGCTGTACGTTGATAAGAGAATACGCTGATCAAGGGCAACCCAACTTGGGCAACCAGGAAAAACTCTTCTGACATGATCATGTAAAAGATATAAGAAGCAAAGCACGGTTCGCAAACCTTGAACATCGTCGAGGTGAGCCAGCGCTCTTCCGACATCCATTGTCAGTCGCTGGCATGCAACGGCTTCTCGCTTGAGCTCAACTGATTCCGAACTACAGGATTTCAACCAATCTTCAAGGCGACCAGCCAAAAGCTGGAGAGTGCTGACCGATGCCGGTTCATGCAAACCTTCATCCGCGCAGATACGAAAATTTTGCAGAAGATCAACGAACTGCTCGCTGCCGCTGCGAAGGTACCGAAATCGCACCCGTAACAAATCCCGGCTCACATCCAGATTGTTTTGGCGAACAGGCAGGTCCAAATCGAAGTTGAGATCCACACTGAAAATTTCAAGCAGTTTGGAGTGCAACTCTGCCAACTCTGCTGAACGAACTCTGGGCTTCAAGTCAGACAGTGTTTTCATCTCCTCGTAGGCATCGAGCAAACAAGCAGTCTCTTGCGGACTCGTGTCTTGCTCACATTGAACCAGCTTTTGCTTCGACGATTTCTCGTCGATGAATCTGCATTCCTCACTGCTGGCCAGCAACCTTGGCAAGAACTGAAAGCGGGCAGCTAGGTGCGACTTCTCTGCGAGCATAGATGCCGAGGTCCCCTACCAATGTTCGATACGCTTGGCTTCAGCTATGACTTCATGCTGTGGACAGCCACTGTCGAAGTCTTTTGCCTGGGAACGTCCATGGAGACGGGAAGGCCGCTAACAGCGCACAACAAGAACAAAGGTCAAAGGCTGCTGGTGTTCAGACAGAAATTGGAAAGGCAAGTGAGCGGCAAGTGCACTTATCGAAATTCAGGAAGTCGCAGTCCGGCTATACTTCGACGACTAAGGTAAGTTGTTCGCATGCATCCCCTGTAGCGCTGGAGAGTTGTACCCCCATGTGACATGAAGTTTATTGCTGCTTGCCGATTTCCTTTCTATCCCTCCTGTGCTGAGCAACTCCACTCCGCATGGCCGTGCAAACACAGCAGAGCTGGTGAGAGGGACGGCGTGCAGACTAAGAGTGCACGTCTGCACGCACCCAAAGAAGTGGTAGAATAGAATCAAAGAGCCGCACCGTCCTTCCGACAATTAGCCAAGCGACTCACCGCTGCCACGAACCAAGATAGATCTGACCAATGTGTTGGAGGAGCATAGCTGGTCCTGTTTGACAACATCCAATGGATAGATGCGGGCCAACTGTGGAACATTTCGCTTGAAGCGAAATGTGACAACCCTGCGCTGGGCAAGCTTTGAATGTGTTGCCCTGTGCAGCCCTTGCCCTGCAAAAAGTATAACTGTGCCTGCAGGACCAAAGCACCGTGTTATTCCGGGCAGCTCTTTGGAACCGCCAGAGGCAATGTGCAAAGCGTCTTCCATGGAAAAATTAGCATCTTTCTGTCGGGAGCCTTTCCAACGACGCATGGATCCCTTAAGGTAGTGCATCTCGCTGCCTCCAGGCGCAACATCATCCAAGAGAACCATCAACTTCCACTCCGGCTCTTTGCCGCCATCTCGGTGCCATTTCCAGGCACGAAATAGAATATCTTCACCTGAGGGGCAGATTTTGCACGACTGCCCAGCGGACTACCTATCCCTTGCAAGTGGAAAGAAACTGGCCGCCCTGACTTGGGTTCTGTTGAAAATGCTTACATTAGCTCCCACTCATCGCTACAGCAGTTTCGGCATGGCTGTAACAATCGCCACCTGGATGTGTGGTCGCTGCACGGAAATCTGACAACTGAATGTTGCCACCAGCAACGTATGCAAGCAGCGCCAGAAGGTAAGGATCCGCAACGGCAGCCTGCACATCATTGCTCAGCTCAACATTCGTGTGAGAAGTCGCCGTAAAGGTTTGCATGTGCAACGTTGGCTGGGATGAGCCAACACGTTCCATCGTGTGTTGATACCAACCTCGCCACTTTTCCAGGCAGCCTTGGAAATAAGATGGCAAGATTAGAAGCCCGTCCTTCTCGAACTGTTCTGCCTGGCGCAGAAAGCTGTCCTCCAGCTGGGCTGCCAGTCGCTTCTGAAACTGCTCAGAAGGGGCAAAGGCCTTCATGAACACGAGATCTCGGCGTGGCACTTGCGCGCTCTGCATCAATCCACAGTACAACATCATACATGTGTTGGTGCATGTACACGAAGGCCTTGGCGAGCTGGGTCTTCCCAATGCCGCCCAACCCGGTTATGGCTCGCGTCTGCACGATGGCACACTGACCTGCGGCCTTGTTGAAGGTGGTCTGTATGAGCTCCAGCTCTCTTGCTCTGCCCGTAAAGGTTTCGTTTGCTGCTGGTACGCCGACTAATCGTGGGGCTTTCGGCTTGGCGTCGGCAGTAAAGATACCGTACGAAGCTGCGGCGGATTGTGTCAACGTGAGCTGCTGGGGTCGGAGGAAGCCGTTGCAGGCGGCCCTGCTTTGAGTAGACACTGCCGGTTGCAACTTGTTGAAAAGATCCTGGAAGGACCAGTCGCGATCTTCTTGCAACAGTGGCATCAAGCATGCCGCAAATGGACTGAAGTCCCCCGGCTTGCCTTCAAGAGCCGCCTGCCCGGATGCACATGCCCACATGATGTGTATCTTGCGGGACAGTGACTTTCGCTTGGTTTGTACATGACCGTTCTTTTCCATGCAAGACGTAGCCACTTGGCAACGGCAGAAGTTCAGGAAAAGATAGACATCTGCATCCTCGGAGCAACGAAGGGTAAGGAGAATGTTGCACAAGTCGTCAACGGTCACCCAGTGCTGGGCATCAGCATCCTGCTCATTAGTACTTGACATCAGCAAGATACGCACGTTGCCATCAACGGTCTCCACTCCGTGAGCTGCCACATAGCCACAAAGTACTTTTGTAAACTCACTGACTTGCAGATCTGCCAAGAACTTCTTGACATCTTCGCTCTCTTGGGCATCTAGCAGGATGTAGCAATCATACCCTCGGCACCCAAAGCTTCTGCCCAGGCATTCGACCTCTGGCTTGGCATTGGGAAGTCTTCGCCATGAGTAGTCAGTGATCCCGACACCAAACATGACCCTCGAGCCCGCAGTCATGACACCCGAAGGTCGTTCAAATCCTAGCAGGCAGTGTCACCGGCTCCACATCCCTCCCGTCAGCCAGTGGCTGCGGACAAGGGCAGACAATCTTGCATCTGAAATCTCTAGACACCAAGCAGCCCCTCCCACAAAGCTCATCTTCCCGGAATTGGAGCTGTTGGCTTTGCTTCCGGATTTTGTCTTTTGAGCTTCGTGGGGGAGGTTCGAGTGTGGCATGTCCACTGATAAGACTGTCTCAAGCATGATCATGCTTTCGGCTCCTGCCAGCAGGGATTGGGTTTGAAGCTCTCTTCAACGCATTCATGGAGGTACCCTAAACCCTAAACCCTGAGGCAGCGCCTCCGAAGATGCCTGACGGTGGTCTTGCTTCAGCTGCAGCTTCAGCGCGAACCTGCCAGAGCCACCAGGCAATGAAGAGCAGGCTGCTTCGAAGATACCCCCTTGAAGCAGTAACTTCCCCAACATACCTTCATTGCGGATAGTGACCGCCTTCGTTCAGGCTCTCTTGGTAGAAACAGAGCTTTGCACAGCGACTAGCGGCTTGCGACTCTTTCACAGCTGCCGATGATGGACGCTCAAGCATCCTTCACCGACTTGCGGGTCGTAACCGTTTTCGGTGTCAAACCTGGTTCTCGGCTGTTTTTGCAATACTGCTGTATTTGAGATGTGAATGCTGCCTCCGAAGCTGAAAGCCTCGCAAAGAATCAGAAACCCACATGCAGGGCCGAAAGCTTGTACCCAAGTAAATATAAATCCTAAGCCCTAAACCCTAAGCCCTAAGAAACCTTAAACCCTCAACCCCCCGGTTCCCTCCTCTCTCAGATCCCCTTTACATCCAAGTCCACATCAATCCTAGATCAAACCTGTTGTGGGCCTCTGGGTGCGCACCGGCCGCCGCCAAATGCTGCTTGCAGCATCTCTCGGTAGCTCCACCTGACCCAGTTTCGGGATTAGGGAACTCTTGCCAAATTCAGTGAGGCTTTTCGGCAAAAAGATACATGTATGTATGTATACATAGATAGATAGATAGATAGATAGACAGATAGATAGGTAGACAGATAGACAGACAGACGGACAGATAGATAAAGAGATAGAGAGATAGAGAGATGGAGAGAGCGAGAGATAGAAAGATAGATAGGTATGTGTATGTCTACGGGTATTTGTATGTGTATGTGTGTATGTGTGTATATATATACAGATACGTGCATGAACGTGCAAGTAGACATGAATGATAATATGATATGAATGTACGTCCATTTATCTATCTATCTGTCTATCTATCTATACATGTATGTGTATACATACATACATATATA